AGTGAGAGAGGAGAGAGAGAGAGAGAGAATTTTTAATATTTATTTTTTAGTTCTCGGCGGACACAACATCTTTGTTGGTATGTGGTGCTGGGGATTGAACCCGGGCCGCACGCATGCCAGGCGAGCGCGCTACCGCTGAGCCACATCTCCAGCCCCATAAAAAAGTTATTTTGGTTTTGTTTTCAGAACTACATACGAAAAGAAAAGACTTATTTCCAAGATTGTAGAGTAACATATGTTTCAAATATTTCAAAATGGCATATCACAGAAAATAAAAATCAATCTTTCTTGTATTTGCTAATATTTTGTAAATATACGGATCAAGAGTCACGAACAAAATAGTCTCCTAATGTTAACAAGGGAATACCAAAAAGTGATGAAATGAAGGCCAAATAGAAACCATACAACTTGCTCATTTTTCAAAATTACAATGCAGCTTACATGCAATTCAATAATACTATTTTCTGTATAAAGAATATTACAAATGATGATTTGGATCTCAATTTCTGAGGGATAAAACAAAGCAAATATCTGTTCTTAAGTTAGAAATGGTACACAAAGATTTACAACTGTCATTCTGTCAATTTAAACAGAATATATCCAAAGTATATTTTCCACTTCACTATTGAAGATCATCAAATTATTTCCAAAAAATAAAATTACTTTATAAATGATACATATATTACCCAAACTGTTTGACCCATACAGTATCTTAAGAGTTGTATTCAATATTACCCTTTAAACTATATGGATCCTAATTAAGGAAAACAGAATAAAAGAGTTTATTCATTGGTAGCAGAAATCCTTCCAAAAGCTAGAGATCCAAAGTGAATAACATAATAATTCTACTAAAAGACAATACTGATACTATTTAGAAGTCCATTATTAATCTGTAACACATAAGCTTCTTTAACTCACTGTCTCTAATTCTGCATAAGAGGTAATTCTCTGGTTCAACTATTTCCTCTATGACCAGGAATTTGGATACAAATTCCTCCACTAGTTTGAAGTTGATGAGCCTATTAATTTTCAAATCTTCATTTCAACATCTAATTGATTTGTATTTATATACACATGCATTATTATATACTGTATATACATATTATTACATTCGTACATTATGTTCTATATTAGCATAGAATATAAAAATAATAATAAGCCGGGTGCCCATGGCACATGCCTATAATAACCAATTCCAGGAGGTTGAGATAGGAGGATCACAATTTTCAGCCCAGTCTGGGCAATTTTGCGAGACCCTCAAAATTAAAAATAAAAAGGGGTGGGGTTTAGCTCAATTGTAGAGCAACTCTGGGTTCAATACCAGTACCATCAAAAAAAAAAAAAAAAAAAGAAAGAAAAAATCTTATGGGAGTAGTCTTACCACTTCTTGAACTAAACTGATTAGTTCCATGAGGCGTCGACGAAGTTTAGCTACCTCTTCGTTCACTTTAGTGACATGCTGCTCATAAATTTCTGCCAAAGGCTTAAAAGTATGTCCACCATGCTATTTAAATTAACAAGAGTAGTTTTAGAACATTTTCACATATCATCTGCATTTATAATCCTTTTTAACACTCCATAGACATTAATAAACTGGTATATATTTTCAAATGAATTTCATCTTTTTTAGTTAGTGCTAACATAAAGTCACCTGGCCCATGTAGGAACTCCTCAAGATTGTAAACAATGGACTTCAGAAAAATTGTTGACATTTAGAAAAATTGACTCATTAGAAGGAACCAAAATACTGGGCTAGTGATGGAGCTCAGATAGGGCACTTGCATATAATGTGTGCCATTCTGAACCCCAGCACCATGGAAAGAAAGAAAAAAAAAATTCTTAACTATAGTCTAAACCATTGGCTACAACCTTATTAACCACTTTTTTTCTTGGGCAACAACATGCCTTCTTCCATGTCCTCAAAACTTCTTCCCAGCAGGCCTTTGCTAAAGTTACCCCCTCTTATTCAAAATAATTCTCCTTCATTTTTCCTCCATCTTAGCAGCTATTAATTCCACTAATCCTTGCAGCTAAGCCCATAGTTATAGGATCAGCACCCATAGTTATGTATTCTCATCAACTCTATTATTACCAAAATGTATTACACAGATTTAAATATAGAACTGTTTAGTACGTCTTCATAATCACCAAATCTAGCACAAGTGACTGAATAAAAAAGATCTTGAAAAACCCAGTGTAGATAATTAACAAAAGCAAKGAACCCATTTCTTGTGCTACAAAAGTTTACTTTTGAAATATAAGTCTGATAAAAGTTAGCATAACATTCAATTTAAAGAATTCAGTTAAATTCAGTTTGAAGAACATTTTGGGGGCATTAAAAACCCMAAAATAATTTTGTATCCGATTTTAGTAATTTAATCCATCACTGGTAATTAGAACCTCCTATTTCTATGATAAGAACACTTCCTATAATAAACTCTTAACTAGAATTGTCTAATTTAGCCAAACCAACCAGTATGGTCTCTGAGAGAAAAGAGATGTGGATTTTTAAATGCTCACTTAAGAAAGTATGGGAAAGAAACTGTCCACTGTTCCTTACAAAACYCATGTATTTAAGTATTAAATTTTGGGAATTTATTTTTTCTAATCAGCAATTAGCATTCATATTCAAACAGAAAGCTCACTGAAGTGAATGTTACTCAACCAACTCAGCCTGCCATTCTTTCCGAAAAATATACTGACACAAAAAGAATGATCAATTCTCATGGTTAACAGATCATTCTATGTATCTACCCACTTCCATTCCCACTGTCAGTTATTTTCCCAAGAATCTTTTGTGTGGGGTTGGGGTGACCTCAGTGGTAGAATGTGCATATGAGGCTTTGCTTTAAAGGTCAGGTGCAGTGTGAGTTATGCCTATAGTCCCAGCTACTTGGGAAGCTGAGGCAGGAGGATTGCCTGAGCTTGAAAGTTCAATGCCAGCCTGGGAAACATAGAGCCCATTTAAAAAAAAACAAAAATTGCTCTTAAACAAGATGTTGGAAAAAAATTAAAAATSGAGTAAAATTATAAAACCTATATATATGCATTCAGATTATTTCATGAGTATCTAAGTTTTTGCTCCATTTTAAAGAAATGAAAATTATAAACTATATCCAGTATATCAGATTACCTGGCCTTTAATGAAAGGTGATCCTACAACAAAAGAGTTAAAAATAATGACAGGGCTAAGAGGAGTAATTCACTGGTGAAATCACTTATCTAGGATATACAAGAACCACATTTGGACCCCAGCAAGGGGGAGAAGGAATAATGATTTAACATGAACATGCATTTTATGGACAGAGTAAGATATTCAAATAAGAGGTACACATCCTACATCAAATATCTCCACCTAAAGAGGTATTTCTCAGGGGGATGCTGAGACAGGAAGATCACAAGTTCAAAGCTAGCCTCAGCAAAAGGGAGGCATTAAGCAACTCAGTGAGACCCTGTCTCTAAATAAAATAAAAAATAGGGCTGGGGAAATCTTCAATATATATTCAATCTTCAATGTATATTCAATCTTCAATGGGGATATGACTCAGTGATCCAGTGCCCGAGTTCAATTTCCCATACCAAAAAAGGTCCAGTGCCCGAGTTCACTCCCCCATACCAAAAAAGGTCCAATGCCCGAGTTCAATTCCCCATACCAAAAAAAAGAGGTACTTCTGGAATAACAGAAGATACAATACCTTTAATAAGGCATTTATAAATTAGATGCATTTTAATTTTCATTCAGTAGAATAAATGATACTTTTTTCCTAACTAAATCCAACAAATATTTCAATGCTTTCCAATCTCTAAAGATAAAGAATATACTAAACTTGTTCTGCTTACCATTCCTCCCCAAAGTGCACACTGATGACAGATACACTTCTTACAAGTCCAGCAAAACACACTAAGTTTTTCATGGTGATTTTCACATCTATACATTATGGAAAAAAGTTAGAATTAAAATTAAAATATGATTACTTCAACAAATTCCTAAGCTTGGGCAAATATAAATCAATTTTAAACAATTACATAACCAAAAACATAAAATGTATTTCAGGGCTTCTGTGAATTAAACAAAAGAATTATATGTGTAGAAAATTTTTATTAATGTTTTCATTAATTTAGATTACAAACGTATATATTGAAGATTTCTTTCTAAATAAAGTAAAAATTCAGCACCATTTCCTAACATCACTACAGGTGATAAGTGCTACCCTACATTACATTTTGATCTACACATACATAAACACATAGGCTTGCACTTTTTCTACATGTGATCAATGATAATCAAGACATCATTAACTGCACATTTAATACCAGATCCTCATGGAAAATAATCACCAAATTTTACTTTTTTTATTAAACCAGATATCCACAAGCAAAATAATGAAGTTATATTTGGTTAAAGAAGGAACTGTCCCCCAAAATTCATATGTTGAAGCCTTAACTTCCAATGTAACCATATTTAGAGACAGGACCCTTACAAAAGAGGTAACTAAGGTGACAACATGAGGTCATAAAGAGGAGGTCCAATCCAATAGGACTAATGTCCTTATAAGAAGAGGAAGAGACACCAACACTGCACACATACACAACAAAAAAACTATGCAATAACAGAAGCAGCAGCAATCCTTTACAAGTCAAGGAAAGAGGCCTCACCAGAAATCAAACCCGCCAGCACTTTGGATTTCTAGACTGCAGAACTAAAGACTAAAAAGGGATCAGAAACTTAAATATAAAACCAAAACTATAAAACTCTCAGAGTAAAACACAAAGTGGAAAAGTTTCATGAAACTGGATTTGGCAATGACTTCTTGGATATCACATCAAAAACTCAAGTAACAAAGGTAAAACTTCTGAGCATCAAAAGTCACAAACTGGGCACAGTGGTGCACATCTGTAACCCAGCAATTTGGAAGACTGAGGCAGGAGGATCACAAGTTTGAGGCCAGTGTGAACACCTGCCTCAAAATAAAATAACAATGGCTAAAGATGTAACTCAGTGCTTGCTTGGCAAATACAAGGTCCTGCATTCAATTCCCAGCACACACACAAAAAAAAGTTTTTAAATGTCACTTACAGAGTGACCTACAAATGTCACTACAGGTTGTCACCTACAAAACAGACAAAAATCTGATAAGGGTTCAATTTCCAGAATAAATAATAGTAACCCCACAAATAAACAGATTTAAAAATAAAGAACATGAATATGTATTTCTCCAAAGAAAATATACAAATGGCCAACAAGCATATGAAAAGATGCTCATCGCTACTAATCATTAGGGAAATGCAAATCAAAACCTCCCATCCATTAGGATGATGATATCAAAAAACTAACAAAAATTCCTTCAAGCAATGGCCAAGAGGTGGAGAAACTAAAACCCTTATTGCACTACTGGCAGGACTGTAAAATGGTGTGGTTCCCATAGAAATAGTACAGAGGTCTCTCAAAAAGTAAAATTAAAAAATTGGGATGTAGCTCAACAGTGGAACACTTGCCTAACATACTTAAGCCCTAAACTTGATCCATAGCATCACCACCAAAAAGAAAATATAATTACTAGACGAACATGGTGGCACATGCCTATAATCAGTGACTTGAGAGAAAAAAGCAGGAGAACTGCCACCCTCAGCAATTTAGCAAGGACCTCCGCAACTTTCCTTGTCTCAACAAAAAAAAAAAAAAAAAAGGCTGGGGCTACAGTGGTAAAGCATCCTGTGGTTCAATCCCAGTATCAAAAAAAGAAAAAATAGAATTACTACATGACTTAGTAATTTCAGTTCTGAGTATATACCAAAAAGATATGAAAACAGAGTCTTGAAAACATGAACACCAAATTCATAGAAGCATTATTCATAATATCCAAGATTTTACAAATTTATAATAGCAAATAAGAAAAAAAGCAGCATATTAGATTCTATCTGAAGCTTACATAAAGGTTTTTGTGCATTTTAGTTTTTTAAATAACAGCCATCCTAAAGGATAAAATTTAGAGTTGCATTTCCCTACTGATTAGTAATGATGAGCTTTTGCAATGTGGGCCATTTACCAGAACTTTTTTTTTTTTTTTTTTTTT